CTATTTTTTTATCAAATTCTTAATCCTCTTAACTTGGACTTTAAAGACCTTCAGTATCTAATATAATAATGTAATCAAATAAATTATTAAAATATGCTTTGTTATGTACTTTCAATAACTACAAATAAATTCCTTTTGTACATCTTCCAACACTGGTCCAAAAATGGCCTCCAAATATTTTATTTAAAATTGTTGATTTACCAGAACTTTGTGGTCCTAAAACACTCAATACTAAAATTCTTTCTTATCCTTTTTCCTTAAAGTTAGATATAAGTTATTTAAGGAATTTTTAATCAATTTTTAATGTATCACCATCTAAAAATTCAAATGGTTCTCCTTTAAAAATCATTTCTTTAATTATTTTAGAAGGATCAAAATTAATTTCTGATTATTAGCAATATTCTCCTTAAGATATGACTTCTCTCCAAAATAATTCTATTCCAATATTTCTTTTGGAAATGGTTACACAATTTTATTTTAATTTCTCAATTTTTTCATTTATCTATTCATTAGACTACGTATTCCTTTCTCTTCTTAATTTTTAGATTTCTTCATTTAATTTTTAATTGTCTCTTTATAGTTAATAAGTGTTTTTTTCATTGAATTTCCTTATTTTATCAACCAAATTAAGGTATAAAATATAAGAATTTGGTTTCTAAAATAGGTTACAAAATTTAAGTAAAATTGGAGATAGTCTCTATTACTTTTTAGAAATTTCTAAATTTTTGATTTTTTAATTGATTTAATTAAGGTTAATTTCAGATTATTTATTTTAGTGATTCGATTAAATTTTCATGTATTCTTCTTTTTCTTTTTTTATTTACCACTCAATGCTTCTTAATGGAAAAGCATTTTAACTATAAAAGCCATCTTCGTGCTACATCAACTATTCTAATTCTTATTCAAATTCTTTCAATAGAACTTGAGTCTATTTAATCTGATTAATTTGATCTTAAGCGCAGTTGTCCATTTCACAAATCAATTTAAAGTAGTCTTCTTATTTAAATGTATAAGCAAGATTATTCTAAATTAAATTGAATAAAAATTAGGATGTTCCAGCAATTTCAGCTTTTTTCTTTTAACTATTTAATCTTGTATTTGATAAATCAATCACTTACTTATAATCAATATTTAAAAATTCTAATTATGCAGTCTCTTACTCATCTAATTTTCCAGAAGAATTTCTAATTAAAAAACAAACAACTTTTTATTTATTTTTAAAAGATTCTAACTATTTTAAATTTTTTATTGTTTCTTAAATTTCTTTTTTAGTATCTAGTTAAATAATCCACAACTAGAACATTGGTAAGATATTATCTAAAATTTTTAATGGGATAAAACCATGAGCATCTGCAACAGATAAATTTCTTGACCCACTAAATTCAAAATCATACATGATATCTATAGTTTGCTTATTTAAACAATTATCGTCTGATATTTCAAATTTAGGTTGATTATAAAATATTGTATTAATTAAATCTGTTTTACCTATTCTATTTTGATTCTTCGCCAAACTTAAATTAATAATCGAATAATTCTGCTCAAATACATAGAAAGTATTAATATTAAATATTAGTTTGTCTTAATCTCTGTATAATAATGGAATTGGATATTATTTACTCATAAGTTTTAGAAGCATCACTTTTAATTCATCATCAGAGTTGTTATAAAATATTTAAAATATTGATTTTTAATTGAAAAAATCATAGTTGATACTTAATTCTTCATTTTCTCTTTAATCATTAATAATTGTTAAGAAATCATTAGATGATTCTCCTCTCTTAATAAAATTAAAGAAAAATGGTATTAATTACTTAAAAGCTCCAGGATCTTTAGCATTCTAAATCCAATTCTTGACTAATTCTTATTATTATTACTGATTTAGTAAAGTCAATGAAATATTAAAATCTTCTAATGAGATATTTAGAGATTTTGGATATATATCATTCTTTAGTCTTTATAATAATTTTGTAACTTCTAATTAATTAATGTCAAAGTAATTTATTTTGTTAAATTATTCTCTATATAAATTAGCATCTAATTCGCATAACTATTCAGCATTAAGAAGTAGTAGCTCTATCTAATTTGTTTTCCAGTAATAAACTAATTCAAATACATTTAATATTTATTCCTTACTACAATTGCTAAAAAATATTTCAAGAAAATGATCAAAACAATATTTTTACGGAAATTTTAAAATGGTTTATATTGCCATTTCGAATACTTTTTATAAATTTTATACTTTTAAATAGCTGAAAAACTTATATATATAACCTATAGTTGTAAGATATACATCTTAAGATATTTAATCTAATCGATTTTCATATGTTAATTTATGTATTTCATCATTTGACAAGCAATTTAAAAGAAGAGAGAATAATTTTGTAAATTCACTACACTACTCTATCTATTAATTTTATTAAAATAACTTTCTTAAAACATCAAGAATTTGGATATTAAACTTTTATAAGTATGCTTAAATTAAAGAATCTGCAATTACATTGTAATTGATACTTTTATTTATATTTGGTAATTTATGTATTTCTTCATTTTACAAGAAATTTAATAGAAGAGAGAATAATTTTGTAAATTCACTATACTACTCTATCTATTAATTTTATTAAAATAACTTTCTTAAAACATCAAGAATTTGGATATTAAAATTTTATAAGTATGCTTAAATTAAAGAATGAGCAATTAAATCTTAATTAATAACCAATTACAATTAATCATTAGAGAAATTGTATAATAAATTAATTTATTATTCAAGTGGTAGATTTGAATCATATTCAGATACTTTTATAATATTCTCTTTCTCTTAATGAGTTCTTACAGAGGAAAAGATTGAATAAAGTATTTAAAAATTAGCAATATTTCTATTTTAATATTCTATCACCATTCTAAGAATAATTTCTAATTCTCCAGATAAAAAATTTTCTTTTTCTTTTTCTTTTTCTAATTCCAAAATAACATTAATTAAATTATCTTCCTTAATAAGTGTTTGAAATAATTATGCTATTTTATGTTGTTTCTCATTACTTATATTTGATAGTAAATTATACATTTTTGCATTTTATTATGTATATTAATTCAAGTTCATGATATGCTATTTTTTATTTAAATTATGAAATCTTCCTTAAAATATAATTTCTTTTTCTAATTTTTATTTTAAATCAGATTATTTTCCATTAAACTATTAGTATTTATTCATTAATTCTTTCCATTAAGTTCATTATTCGAACTTTTTCTAAATTAGATATATTAATTAAGTAGTTTTAACTTTTCTAGTTGATTATCTCTAGCTAACCTCTTTCTAAAATATTCATCAAAATGAACTAAACAATAGAAGCACATCATATAAAAAATAATTTAAAGATCAAATGAAATTGGCAATAATTTGTCTATCAAATTCTCAATTTCTTCAAAATTTAATGTACTTTATTCATTTTTGTTCAATAATTTTTTAACTAAAAATTGTATATATTCATATAATTTAGATGGATCTGTCTTAAATTAAGATAATATTTCTTATAAAGATATTAATTATTTCTTGCCTTAATTTTAGTCTTTTAACTATTAATAATGATATTCAAATTAAATCCACATATTACATAGTATTTCTCCTAATATTTGATATATTCCTGTTTTTTCTTAATTGCTCAAATCCAATTCATCAGGTATAAAAAAAAAAAATATTAAATTTTTCAATATAATAGAGTTTAACTAAAATGTAGAATTTCTACATTAAATAATTAATTCTATAATTCTGAAGCTATGTTTCTAAAGTTTTTCAAATACAATTTTTTATGGTTATAAAGAAGTTGGCAATTGACAAACTGTTAAAAAGGTTTCTTTTTCTAAAAATTAATTAAGTCGATTTCCAATCTTGATTTTATCTTACACTATACAAATTATCATATTATTCACATATGCTAATATTTTTCTATAATCCATAATCTGTCAATAGGTTTTTTAACCGACCAAAGTATCCATTTAAATTGTCCATTTATTTAATAAGGTAATTATTATGAGGAAATATTGAAATCAAATATTTTATAGCTAAGTACTTATCATCTTTTTGTTTTAATTTATTGAGAAAAAGATTTACAATTCTCTCAAAATCTTATTCAGAGCTAATTATACTTTTTAGCTTATCATCAGCAATGCTTTTTAACTCTAAGGTCTTATTGTATTTTGATAATGAACCAAGTGACATTAATTATTTAAAAATTATTAAGTAATAAAGTTTTTCAAATTGTATTTATAAATCACAAATGTACACCATATCTGTTCAATTCTATTGATTAGGGTTAACTTTAAGGTGAAATTAGATTTATTAATTACAGCATAGTAAATGTTTTGGATTAATAAATCATTAATCTAATTGCAACTATTAATCACTTTCAATAATTGTATTGAGAGTTATCTTTATAAGAAAATGAGATTAATTAAAATAATTGCTTATCTTCATTTACTTCCTTTATTTTTAATCATTAATCAAAATAGTTAAGTTTGATCTAGAAAAAGTTTTATTATTCATTGTCCCATCTACCCAATAAATTTTTTAATTAGATCGGTTTGGGACTGGATTTGTATCAGATAGCTTTATTGCCATTTTCTACTCTTATCATCTATTTATGATTAAAAGCTGCATTGACTTAAGTATTCAGCATCCAATTGTTCTTTGAGTGTTTATTTCTTAACACTTACAAAAGTTTTGTATTCAATCAGTCTATTACAGACTTCAGGTGTTTTATCTCAATTTTAATTAGGTAATGAATGCAATCTTTCAAGAAGAAAGTAACAATTTTTAATCTTTAGAATGGAAAGCTCTTTAAGATTTATAGGTTTTTAATCGACTTTAATCTCTAAAATACATATGATGATCTATTAAAAACAGCTTGTGGATCACCTTATTATGCTGCACCTGAAATGTATCAAGAAAACTTTATAGTGGTTTAAAAGCTGATATTTGAAGTAGTGGAGTTGTATTATTTTTAATGTTATGCGGTTATTTGCCTTTTGAAGATGCAAATACAAATTAGTTATATAAAAGGATTTTATCAGCTAATTATAAGGTTTCTAATTTTTTAAGCAGTAATGCAGCTGATGTTTTAAAATTTATTTTGAATCCAAATCCTGATAATAGACCAAACATTGATCAAATTAGAAGGTATCCTTTTTGGTTTAATTTATACAAAACTAGTTTTTAAATAAAGTTAGGAATTTTATAGTAATAAATTCTCATAGATAATGATGTTGTCAATTAAGGAGAAAAGTTAAAAAAATATTTATATTAATTTTTATGTTCAAATCAACATAATGATGTTACTATAGCATTTTATTTGTTATTAGATTAAATTATTCAATCAGGAGGATAAAACTGTGCTGATATCGCATCAAATTAATTTAAAGCTTAATTGATTGAAGTAAATTCTTAGACAGCAAAAAGTGAAATAAAAATTAATATGACAATTGAGGATGAGGAATAAGATATTACAATCCTTTTAATTATAATTAAATCTTTAATTTATTTATAATTTGTTGATAAAACAATAATTAATACTACTAGTATAAATAGTTAATAAATTTAACAACAATCTTAGATTGCTCCTAAGAATTTATCTAGTAAAAGATCAAACAAAACAGAAAAATACCCAATGTTTGATAGATTAATAAATAAAATTGATAAAGTTCCACTAAATATTAAATCAGAATCTGAATAATAAAAAAGCTTTAATAATACAAAATATGAGTGTTAATCAATTAAGGGAAGTAAATCTATATCTTTGAGTGATTAGTATTCTGATAAATTAAGTAAAGAATTACCAATATCGACTATACATTAAAAAATTAAAGAAAAAAAAACCAAAAATTAGAACTAATTTATTAAAAATTCAATAAGTTTATGGAATTAGAAAATGATATTCATAATAAAGCCATTGATTATTGTGATCCAATTTACTCCTTATGTTATGTTGGTTGAGTTTATTAAAGGAAATGTTATTTCTTTTTTTCTTTCTTTTCTTTAAGTGCTGAAATTATATCATTGGAATGAGTCAACTATTATACTAGATTAACAGATGATTATTCCATTTATTTAGCTTATTTTTCCTATTCATCCTCTCCTTTGACTAATTCTCTAGCTCTTCCAAATGAAATCCAACTCATATCTTTATCTTTTATTTTCTTATTCACATATGATTTTATACCTGAAAAATATTATGAATCTTTCCATTATAAATAAGCAATGTCTAATTAATAATATTATAAATATTACAATATAAGTAATTCCACATATAATGATTTTATTTTAAATGATTTTTAAATCCACTAGATGAGCCATCAGAACTTCTTTCAAAAATTATACTAAATTATATAATTTATAAATAATTACTTCTCTTAACCACAAATAAAACATTTATCCTTTATATCACTATTCATTTTATTTTCATCTTCTCTTAATTGTCCAAAAGTATCAATGATAATACCTGATGCAATACTTACCATAATAATAACTAATAAGAGATTATTTATTTAATCATATATATATCTAAAGATCTCGTAAGTAGTAGATGGATTATGGATTATCATTAGTAATATCACCTCCTATATCTCCAGGGACTTTAAAATTCTTATCAAAGATTTATAGGAAGCAAATACTTACTTCCTTACAATCCAATTCTAAAGGATCTTATAAAGTATAAAAAGCTATTAATGTAAAAATTTATGTTATGATTATAATTAATAATAGAGTAAGTATTAATTCTTACCAAGTCATAGTAACTGCTCTAACAACATTACTTAAAGTGGGATATCTTATGAGCATGACAGTTAAATGGAAACTAAAGAAAAAGGGATGAACTAATGTACCAATAACAAATAATGCCCCATATCCTAAATAGTAGACCAATTAGAAATCTTATAAACAATAAAAAAGAACAAACAATAATTTAG